CATATGTGGGAAATTAAGGCTGGCACCCTAATTTTTTAAAACAAATCTTATATTGTATATCAACTCATGATTCTTGAGTCATAAGGTTATCTTATTTATTTTTTCAAAACAAATCATATTATATATATATTAAAAGAAGAACCAAGAGGTAATTAGGTGCATCATGAGAATTAAGTATTGAAGTGTTGGTGAATTGTGGTTAAATTTGAGATATCCCACTTTGATGAAAGATTAAAGATTGGAATAAAGAAATGTGTATAAGAAAAAAAGAATGAAATTCATTGTGTCAACTCAAGAGGCTTAACTCATAAAGTTAATTTATTTGGATGACACTCTTTTGCAACATAAATGTTTGGAACAATTGTCTAAACTCACGAGCAATTGTCTAAACTCACATGCTTTGATCATTTTGACTGAACTTCCAAACATATGCGGTTGACTCATTTTGGCCAACCCTTTTTTTGTGACAAAATTAATCTACACTAAATATTAATTGAAGGGATAATTTTAATATGTTTTTGAAAGTAAATAGCGGAATCGTTGATGCGGCACCCTAACAATTGAATATTCTTCAATCTTAAATTGTGATTGAGTTTTATATATCCTACACTGATTGAGAGTTGAAACATTAACAAAAATATTGGATATGTAAAATGACGTCCATTTGCCTTTGTGACAACTCATGAGGTTGGTTACTCTTGGTTGATTCTCTGAACACCTGTGGTTAGAGCATTTTGGCCGACTCTCCAAACACATGGGCTTGGTTCATTTTGGCCAACTCTCTTTTTGCAAGAAGAGTTAATCAATATTAAAAATCAATTATATATATAATCTTTATTCTTTCTATATTTAAAAGTAAGAACCATAACCATCAATGTGACATCTTAAGATTGAGTATTATTTAATCTTGAATTGTGATTAGTTTTGTCTATCCCATAGTGATAGGTAGATAAAAGATTGACACTGAATGATAAATATATAAAGGAATATTGGGATGTCTCTGTGGCAATCTATTGGGCTGACTTTTTAATTGTTTTTTAATTTTTAACAAGAAATATTGAATAATTCTCTAAACTCATGGTGTTTAACTTATTTGGCTGACTTTTCTAACATAGGATTTTTGACTAATCCTCTTTTTACAAAAAAATCTATATTAAAAGTTAAAGTAATTAATTAATTAAATTAATATATAATGCTATAAGATATTGATGTGACAAATTAGAATTTAATATTTTCAAATCATTAATTGTGATTGAATTTTACTTGAATCTTAATCCATATTAATGAAAAAAGAAATTACTGAAAAAGAGTCAAGTATATGAAACGAGAAGGATGGCTTTAAATATTGAAAGGGTTACAAATGCACTATGAAAATTTAATATTTTCAATTTTGAAGTATAGGGATATTGATGTGGTTCACTATTTTTTATATATTACTTGACATGTGTTATGATCACCGTGCAACGCACGGTGCCGAGCACTAGTACACTAATAAAATGAATACTTTTTAAACATTTCTTACAAAATGACCACGAAAATCACTCTCCAATGATGATTTACTTTTTAACTCGGATTCTTGACACCCCTAAAATTAGGTGTATTCTCTAGTGCAAGCTAAAATATATTAATTTTGAAACTTATAACATTAATTATATTATTAACATATTTCATAAATTATAAAAAAATATCTAAAGAATGTTACCTTCTATGTCCCCTACTTTCTATGTTAAGAGAACTTAGCATAGCAAAAAGATCCTATAAAACTACATTTAATTTATTTTAGAGAATCTGTTAGAGATAATTTTAGATTATGTTTAGCAAACTAGCAGATAGCTGATAAATTAACTGATGACTGATAATCTAGCCTATGAACTAAATATCTTTGCAAGAACAAGCAAATAAGCTAGTTGAAAAATGTAAAATAACCAAAAACTACATGTTTTTAAATTAATAAAATTTAATATTTCATAATATATTTAAAACTATTCACTAATAATGTCATATGTTAATTAGATACAAACCAGATGTTAAAAATAAATAGATAATAAACTATGTTAATTAAATAGATTCCAATTTTATTTATTATTATTTTATATATGGCGTTAGAAAAATGGATTTGTATAACTAAATACAATTTTATAAAATATCTATATTAACCAATGACTTCAAATAACCATCACCTATAATATCAATAAAAATAAAGTTGGTCAACCTTACATATCTTAGTTAATTAATATTTGTTTTAAAAAAATATTAAATTAAGGATAATTAACAATAACAACACGTAATTTTAAGGGTTCCTTTCTTTTACCATACTCGAGATGTACGATCGTAGTATTCGACCGATATTTGATCAGGAATTGGAACTCTTCAAATCATCGACATTGGAAGCAGATGTGGTGATAGCTGGATTTATTCTGTTTTTCTCTGATTATTCAACGTTTTTAGCGAAACCAGGTTTTACATAGAGGATTTGTTCGTGAATCTTGAGGGAGAGTTATAGTAGAAAGGAAGATGATGTTGTCGGTGGTGGCGAGACAGGCAGCGGTGACGGGGTACCGCAGGGTGGAGTCGGTTGTGCTGGATTGGAATACAAATGCCATAAAGTTTTACGAAAGAAATGGGGGCGAATGTTATGCATGAATGAAGGGTTTGTAGGCTCACACGTGATGCTCTTCAAGTACGACTCATGGTACCAAAGATCTTGATGATGTCGACGTAGAGCTTTATTAGCCTTTGTACATTATGATTATACAAACAAAAGGAAAAAAGAAAGGACATATGTAAATCACCATACAACAAAAAGGATGCGAGCTAATTTAGAAAAATTGACTTAAATAATTATTTTTCACACTTAAATTTGGCTTCTAATCAATTGTCTTTCAGATTGATCTAAATGTCACCACTTCCACAATATTAACTAAAAGACAAAAAAAAATCAAATTCAACCAGTTTATTGTCGGAATTGCGGACCCGACCGTCGTAATTGCATATTTGGGTTGATTTTTTTTTTTTTTTTGTCTTTTAGCTAATATTGCAAACATGGATATTGTGAAAATAGTGACATTTGGATAAAATCAGGAGATAAATGATTAGAAGACCAATTTAAATATGGAAAATGATTGAAAATTTTACATTAATTTATACCGAGACAATCATTGATTTATTTGACTTTGTAGTAAACCAAAAGAGACCATTTATTCCATTCAATTGAATTTTAAATAAATGAAAAATCAAGATACATCGATTTTCGATCTAACTTTCATGATCTCATCCGATTGAAATTTATCGACCTAATGAAATGCATGTTCCCTTTTTCGGCATAAGTTCTATTTTTTATTTATTACAAAACTCGTCAAAATTTACATTTTGTTTTCAATTTGGTCCCTCAGACTTCCATTTTGAACTATAAGTTTTATTTATTTTGTTTAGAATAAATTATATTTTTAGTCCTTATGGTTATGCTCACTAGCAAGTTTGATCCCTCTTTACAAGTAATTATAATTATGGTCACTTTGGTTGTCATTTTGTTTCATTTTTTGTTTCTCTGACTAAGGAGTCGTTTACCCAATGATTACCCAGGTAAGCGCTTACTAAGTAACATTACTCACCGGATGAATATGATAAGGACCAAGAATCTTACCTGGTAAGACTGAAACAAGGACCAAGAGTCTTACCCGGTAAGTGAGAACAATGACTTTTACCATGGTAAGCGCTTACCAGGTAAATTGTTGCATACGATGTCGTTTTGGTGAACTAAAATCTTACTTGATAAGTAAATAATAGTGTTAAATTTTATCAGTAAACACTTCATCGAGTAAGTGTTTGGTAAACGACCCATAACTCTAGTATATATATATTAAAGGAAGAACCAAGAGTATTGATGTGGCATCATAAGGATTAAGTATTGAGGTGTTGATGAATTGTGGTTGATTTTGAGATATCCCACATTGGTGAAGAGTTGAAAGATTTGAATAAAATGACGTGTATAAGAAAGGTGGATTGGATGTCTTTGTGTCAAATAATGAAGTTTGCCTCATAGTCGTCTTTCTTTTGATGATTCTCTTTGAAATCTATAACCATGGTTGGAAACCAAAGAAACCAAATGGTAGAAATTATAGTGCAAAATTAATTATATTATATTATTATATCTTTATATTTATATAAAAGTAAAATTTCTCTCTCAATATATATATATATATATATATATATGTATGTGTGTGTGTGTATTACAATTTCACTAATTGTATTTTATTTAACTTTTTCGAATTATTTGAATACTATTTGTTGATGATTTTATTAACAACTAATATATATTTATATAAACAATCTTCAGATCATTAATCAAAGTACTCATACTACCGCGTAACGCGCGGTTCCAATACTAATATTAATTAAATCCAACATCCAATAAATGATTAAATCGGTGTGGTTCCCTTTACATCTATTGGATGTCGACAGATGAACAACCTTGATAATGACACTAAAATAAAAAAAATGTATGTAGTTTTTAATTTTTATTTAAAGAATAAATAAATATAACCTATTTTACTGTTTTTGTAAGTTCCATGTAAATAGCAAATATCAAATATACTAAACGAACAACTTTTGGCATACAAATTTTTATTTTTAATTTATAATAAATCATACTTAAATATATAGTGCATTTTTCTAACAACCTGGTCTAACTTTCTTAAAAAATCTTAATTTATTTATGAAATAAGAATACTAAAATAATAAAAAAGACATATCATTGGTTATGATTACACCTACACAATTAAATATTACTTTTAAGCATTTACTACTCATGAAATATAAATAATAAATATTTATTAATTCAAGAAAATGTAAAAAGAAAATTCTACAAATAGAAAAATGAAAATATATTTATGATTGTAAAATATATTTTACGATTATTAATTATTAAATAATGATATATTATTCTTTTGAAAACGTTTATTTTCTTCCTGTTGACTTGGTTAGTTTGGTTTGGTCCCTGTTGATAATCCTTCTCTACTCATCTCCTCAACTCCAAGACCCTCGTAATCCTTTCTCTCTTTCTCTCCCATAGATCCCCAAAAATGGCGTCAATTCAATATGGGAAATGATCATGGCAACTACTGATCTTCGTTGCATTTCTTCACAATCTTATGTTCAGTGCTTATCAGGTCAGCTAATTTTACCATTCTTTCCATTTCTCTGATATTGCTGTTGACTTCCACCTTGGTCCAAGTCTTCTTCGTCTTTGTTTCAATATTGATGGCTGTTTCCAGTTTTATAATCGGAAAGATGAATACTTTGGTTAGTTATGCCATATGGGTTTGTTGATCTGTGTTCTGTGGTCAAGCTTCATTTCCTTTACCTTCTTAAGAGGAATCAAGAATCCAAAGCTAACTAGAAGAAAGCACCCTGCTGTGATACCTTCTTGATTACTATAACAATTCATAAAAGTTTAAGCAGGCAGACCAACTGTTTGTGTAAAGTCGTAGCTTAACAAAATGAAAATTAAAGTTCTAGCAGAATTGCGGGTTTCTATCTTCAGCCAACTTTTGTGCTTAATTGTACAAGCTGGCAAAGTAACAAGTTTGAGCGCATTGACTGGTGAGATGAATGACCCTCATAAATGCAGAATTCAACAGGACTGATTTGATCATATATTGTTGTGTCTCACTTCTGCATATCCCTTTTCACCAAGAAAAATTCTACTCTACAAGGCCCCTTATTCTATAATTAGAGTCCATTCTTCCATGACTGATAGGGTTGAGTATTTGTCATATTACACCCAAGAAGGAAACATTTTGGTTGAACAAATTCTTTTGACAAAGAGTGGACTTTAAGTCTCGAACAATTGCATGTTTTAGGTGATGCATTCTAAATAAGAAGTTCATATGCAAACATTTAATTAAAACAACTTAGACCGAACATAAATGTGATAAGCTCAACTTTTACTATGGAATGGAGGGAATAATGAATATGTTGGATTGACCAAAATTCTGCTTCTCAGGTCCTTGTTCTTATCTTGAAGGGATGGCCTCCTGAGGGTATGAGGGTATTAGGTTTAGTCAACCTGCTACACTGGAGAATCTCATGATTCAGAGCATACCAAGTTGGTAACATTATTTATGATAACAGAACAGCAATGGAAGCAATTACAAGCACCTCTTCCATGGCTGCTGCAGAGTTCATCACTCAGACTATTGAATTACTCGGTGAAGCAGCTGTAGAAGCCAAAAATCTCTTTGTAGAGAAGGAGAGTTTTTTAGAACTTGCTTCATATTTGGATAGAATTGTTCCTCTTCTAAAAGAATTAAAGAAAAGGGATATTAGTAACATTGAGAGCAGTTTTGTTGAGATCTTGAATCAACAAGTCAAAGTTGCTAACCAACTGATGACTGATTGCAGCAAAAAGAACAGGGTGTACCTCTTAATCAATTGTCGGACCATTACAAAACGCTTACAGGACATTACAAGAGAAATTAGCCGCGCATTAAGTCTGATTCCTTTTTCCCAGTTGGATATTTCAGCCAGTATGGTGCAGGAACTTAGTCAGCTCTGTGAAAGTATGCAGTCTGTAGAGTTCAAGACAGCTATGGCAGATGAAATGATTCTGGAGAAAATAGAGACAGGAATACACGAGAGGAATGTAGATCGCTCGTATGCCAACAATTTGCTAGTTTCAATTGCACAGGCTCTGGGAATTCCCACAGAAAGATCTGCATTAAAGAAGGAAGTTGAAGATTTCAAAAGTGAAATACAAAATGCACAGCTCCAGAAAGACCATGCTGAAGCCATTCAAATGGATCAAATAATTTCTTTGCTGGAAAAGGCAGATGCTACTCATTCTTCAGAGGAAAAGGAAAGAAGCTATTTGACAAAACGCACTTCGTTGGGTAGTCAACCGTTGGAGCCTCTCCAATCATTTTACTGCCCAATCACCAGAGAAGTTATGGTGGACCCTGTCGAAACTTCTTCTGGTCACACGTTCGAGAGAAGTGCAATTGAGAAATGGCTGGCTGATGGGAGTAACTTGTGTCCCCTGACCATGATTCCTTTAGAAAATTTAGTATTACGACCTAATAGAACTCTTAGGCAATCAATTGAGGAATGGAAGGACAGGAATACCATGATCACAATTGCGTCAATAAAAGCAAAACTCTCAAGACCATCCTCAGAAAACGAGGAAGAAGTGCTTTGTAGCCTGGAACAGCTGCAAAACTTATGTGAACAAAGAGACATACATCGGGAGTGGATAGTGCTGGAGAATTGCATACCTATCCTCGTGGAACTTCTTGGAGGTAGAAACCGAGATATAAGGACTCGTGCCCTTGTCATGCTTTGCCTTTTGGCAAAGGATAGTAATGATGCAAAGGTACTTCTACTTCAATATTCATAACGATGATTGTGAGATTCTTTTGTTATATAACCTGAAATACTCTAGTGCAACTTCTACTACCTTTGAATCTTTATTTTTAATGAGTAAAATGATAGAAAGCTAAAGAATTTTGGCAGCTGCATTTTGTGTTTACAATCATGGCCAACCTGGAAGTTCATTCGATGTAGCTCTATGCGATTGATGGCGTTTTAATCACGTTGTTTGTATCTTTGTTATGTATTTGTTACTTCTAATACTCAAATCTTCTTGTAGGATAGGATTGCAAAGGTCGATGGCGTCATCAAATCTACAGTACGCTCACTTGGGCGTCGGGTTGCTGAAGGAAAATGGGCAGTCGAATTGCTATTGGAATTATCACGCAATGAGATACTGCAAAAGAGCATCGGGATGGTTCAGGGATGCATACTACTTCTGGTGACCATGTCCAACAGTGATGACACTCAAGCTGCCACCCTTGCAAGGGAGCTCTTGAACAATCTTTCATTCTCTGATCAAAATGTCATCCAGATGGCAAAAGCTAATTATTTTACGCATCTGCTGCAGCGGCTATCTTCAGGTTATTTTTGTAAAGAAGATAATGATTGATTGTGATTTTTAGTAATATCATGTACCATAAAAACCCGATATTTTTACTGCAAGTACTAGTTAGATCTTGAACATTGGGACTTTTTTGGCAGGTTCAGAAGATGTAAAGATGAGCATGGTAACGACATTGGCAGAAATGGAATTGACAGATCATAGCAAGTCTTCTTTATTAGAAGGAGGCGCGCTAGATTCACTTCTTCCCTTGCTCTCAAATGGCAATCCTAGGATGAAGGAAACAGCAGCTAAAGCACTTTGTAACGTATCAAGCTTACCGAAAAGTAGCATGCAAATGATAAAACGAGGTTCAGTGAGTCTGTTGGTCAATATTCTTTACAATCACACATCGTCCCACTGTTTACAGGATGAAGTTGCAGCTATAATCATGAATCTTGCCATATCGACCATGTCCCAGGATTCCAATGGAACGCTCGTTTCGTTATTTGAATCTGATGGAGATATTGATAGCCTCTTTTCCTTTATTGGCTGTACAAGGCCTTCGGTGCAAGAAAGTTTACTTCATTCTTTTTATGCCATGTGCCATTCTCCTTTAGCTGCTACTGTAAAAGCAAAGTTGAGACAGGTAACATCTACAGTCCCGAACTTCCCTTTTGATTTGTTATGGCGCACATTGTTTGATTTAGGCTATGTTTGGGAAATGAGCTGTTAGCTGATAAACGAGTTGTTGGTTAGCTGATAAACTAGGCATATTTAGTAAAACTAGTAGATAAGTTAGATGACAATGTAAAATGAGCTAAAGGACATGCTAAAAAATATAAGGGGGATAATTAGAAAAACTACTTGAAGTAGCGTTTCAGGAAGCTAGCTTATGGCTAACCAAAAGGGGCTTTTTCAATACGCTCAAAAAAATAAGTTGTCAAACATGGCCTTAGAAGATGGCTGCTAGCATCTCTGTCAAATATCTAACCATACTCGACTGGTTCGGTTTAAACTATTTTCAGAATTCTGACAGCGAACAATTACTGGTGGCTTTATGTAAAGATGAACACCAGAAAGTACGGGCAAATGCTGTTAAGCTGTTCTGTTGTTTGACAGAAGATGGTAATGACAAAGAGATCATAGACCGCATGGGGCAGCAATCAATCGAGACTCTGATAAAGATAATACGGTCTTTTAGTGATGAAGAGGAGACTGCTTCTGCTTTGGGTGTCATCTCAAACCTCACACAGTCACCTCAACTCACTGAGTCATTGTTGAGAGCTGATGGGCTGCCCAGTATATCAGCCCGTCTTCACGATGGAATGCATAATGGGCCCCAGAAGAAACGCTTGATAGAAAATTCTGTTGGATCACTATGTCATTTTACCATCCCGACAAACCAACAGTCACAGAAGAAAGTAGCCGAGGCGGGTGTCATTCCTTTACTGGTCCAGTTGTTAGAGCTAGGTACCAGTGTGACCAAACGAAAAGCATCCATTTCTCTTGCTCAACTTTCTGAAACCTCCTTCCAGTTAAGCCGGCCAATCCCCAAACCGTTGGGGGGGTTATTCAGGTGCTTCTCACCTCAATCAGAATCCGGGTGCCCAGTTCATCAAGGAATTTGCACCATAGAGTCATCCTTTTGTCTGGTGGAAGCTAATGCAGTTTCACCATTGGTGACACTTCTGGGAGATCCTGATCAAGATGTCTGTGAAGCTTCTCTAGATGCCTTATTGACCTTAATTGAAGCTGAAAGGCTTCCATATGGCTCTAAAGTGCTTTCTGAAGCTAATGGTATTCATCCGATCATAAAGTTACTTAACAGCACTTCTTCAAGTTTGCAGGAAAAAGTACTGAACGCGTTGGAGAGAATTTTCCGACTGGTGGATTTTAAGCAAAAATACGGACCGTCGGCTCAGTCGCCTTTAGTCGAGTTGACTCAGAGGGGAAACAACAAAACAAAATCTTTGGCAGCCAGGATTCTTGCTCAGTTAAATGTGCTCCATGATCAATCATCTTATTTCTAGAAGCATTTTATTGGTGATATTTATGATGATCAGTGGGTAGGTTATCTCCTGACTGGTAGCATTGCATATGATTGTTAGGGAAAACTTTGGGTTCTTAGCTCAGTGGAAATTTTTGGCATTGATTTTGTGCACAGCTTCTGTATTCTATTGTATATTACATTCATACATAACTCAATTTAAAATTCATGTTAAAGGCTTCCATTATGACGTTTTTGATTACCTCTTATATTACCTGTCTTATTGTTTGTTTGCACACACTTTTTGTCGTGCATAAAGTGGGAGTTTTCATGGAAACAACCTCTTGATACTAGTAGTTGAGGGAAGGTCAAAGTACATCTTATCTCTTTCAGACCCTACTTTTGAATGAGATATACTGTTTTCGTTTGGTTTGTTCAGACTTCTCGGAAAGGCCTCCGCGTTTTCTAACTTATAATAAGTTGCTTTCGCATATTTATATATAAAAATTAAATAAAAACATATCAAATGATGAAAAACCCCCTAATAAGGGATGGACAGGACATACATATTGATTAGGAGGTCGGAACCTTTCGAGTTTGGAGTAAATACTTGGGAAATTGACCAAATTAAGCTACTTTGAACGAAGTCCTTCAACCCACTGGGTGGCTTTAACGGTTCTCGTCCCTTTTTTTTTGAAAATCTAATGGAACGCGTCCTTACGTTTGCATTTTTTAGCGAGTTACATTTATGTGGTTGCATTTTTTTCTAATGAGTTAAGTTTTTGTGGTTACAATTTTTAACGAGTTTGGTCCTTAAATAAATCAACGATCTAGATTCCTACGGATGTATTAAGGAACCAACCGTTGTAAAAATGCAACCATAGAGACACGACCCGTTGAATTTTTAGAAAAGGGATAGGGCCAATAAAAACATATAACCAGATGGACAACATGTCTAATTTACTCTATTTTTTATGTTGTAAGAACATCCACAATGTCCAAATCTTTTAATGGCTTTTTATTTTTGCCACATCAGCTCTCCAGTGTCCACTAACAATTTTTTCAATAAAAACCTATTTTCACAAGGGGAAGGCTAATTACACTTAAACCCTAAACCCTAACCACTATGTAATTATTTTATTTTTTATTTTTTTGTCTTTTTGTTGTTTTTATCTTTTGTTTTTTTTTTCTTATTTATATTATATATATATATATATATATTGATTTTAATATAAATTATTAATTAATTTATTTTTTTCTCTTCTTTATTTATATTATACTAGAAGGATACTCGCGCAATGCAGTGAGATACATCTGGATTTTAACGTTTTATTTTATATTTTGGTTCTATCGATGTTATAATGCGAGTTTATGTGGTTTTGAGAAAACAAAAATATTTATGTTTTTGAATAAAATATAAATTTAAAGATATTATAAAATTTTAAAAAAATAGGCGATATTAATATCAAATTAACTATTTAAAAGTTCTCGTTTTTATGTAATTTATTTGATTCAATTCCTTATTATAATTTAATTGAAGCTTAAAAACGAACTAACTTATTTTTGGTTTAATAAAATAAAATTTTAAGATAATAATTAAGTAATATGTTAGAACTCAATAATTATCTTAATTATATTTTAGGTTTTTTATATTTAAAATGATGTTTATCATGTATTTGATTATGTTTATTTGCAGTTAGTTACGCAAATTTAAACATGAAGCTTTAATAAGATGTACTCATGCACATCATACTTGTAATTAATAAACAATATTTTATGCATAAAAAATTGTTTTTAAGAGTTTTAGTCAAATGCTTTATAATATAGTATATATAATTTGTTATAAAGATAATAATTAAACAGTCTGTTATAACTTAATGATTATCATAATTATATTTTAGATTTTCTATATTTAAAATGGATGTTTATCATGTATTTGATTATGTTTATCTGCAGTTAGTTACACGAATTTAAAAATAAAGCTTTAATAAGTTATACTTATGTAAAATTACTTGTAATCTTGAATTTTAAATAATATGCATTAATAAACAGTACTTTAAGTATAAAAAATGGTTTTTAAGAGTTTTTATCAAATGCTTTATAATATAGTATAGATTCTCATTTTTATGTAACTTCTTTAATTTATTTTTTTATTATAATTTAATTTAAGTTTAATAATGAAATAATTTATTTTTGGTTTAATATTATAAATTTTATAAAGATAATAATTAAGTATTCTATTAGAATTCAATGATTATCCTAATTATATTATATATTTTTTATATTTAAAATGAGATGTTTATCCTATATTTGATTATGTTTATCTGTAGTTAGTTACACGAATTCAGATATGAAACTTTAATAAGTTGTACTTACGCACAATTACTTGTAATCTTGAGTTTCAAGTAATATGTATTAATAAACAGTACTTTTATGCATAAAAAGTGGTTTTTAAGAATTTTGTCAAATGTTTTATAATATAGTACATATTTTTATTTTTATATAATTTCTTTAATTTATTTTTTTATTATAATTTAACTTAAGTTTAATAATAAAAT